AAGTAGAGAATATCCACCAAATGCTTCAGAGAATGACAAGAGAACTTTGAGAAGATTAGCCATGAATTTCTTTCTAAATGGGGAGGTGTTGTATAAGAGAAATCATGATATGATCTTGCTTAGATGTGTAGACGTTGCTGAAGCACAACAGATTGTTAAAAAAGTTCATGAAGGCCCTTTTGGCACCCATACCAATAGGCATGCCATGGCAAGAAAAATCTTAAGGGTTGGTTATTATTGGTTAACCATAGAGAAAGATTGCTTTAAATACGTGAAGAAATGTCATAAATGTCAGACATATGCTGATAACATCAATGCTCCACCAACTTCCCTTAATGTTTTGTCATCACCTTGGCCATTTTCTATGTGGAGAATGGATGTTATTGGTCCTATTGAGTCAAAAGCGTCAAATGGACATCGCTTCATTCTGGTTACTATTGACTATTTCACCAAATGGGTTGAAGCCGCTTCATATGCCCATGTGACTCGAAATGTGGTAGTAAAGTTCATCAAAAGGGAATTAATTTGTCATTATGGTGTGCCAAACAGAATCATTATTGACAATGGAACCAACTTGAACAACAAGATGATGACAGAGTTATGTGTTGACTTCAAAATTCAGCACCATAACTCTTTCTCATATCACTCAAAGATGAACGGGGCAGTTGAAGCAGCAAACAAGAACATCAAGAAGATCATTTAGAAAATGGTGGTGACATACAAAGATTGGCATGAGATGCTTCCATTTTCTTTACATGGATATCGAACCTCGACTGGGGCAACCCCATTTTCCTTAGTTTATGGAATGGACGCAATCCTTCCAATTGAGGTTGAAATTCCATCTTTAAGAGTATTAACAAAAGCCAAATTGGAAGAATCAGAATGGGTCCAAACCCATTTGGATCAATTAAATCTCATTGAGGAGAAAAGGTTGAATGCAATTTGTCATAGCCAATTATATCAAAAAAGATTGAAGAAGGCATTTGAAAAGAAAGTACACCCCAGGGAGTTTCGAGAAGGAGACTTAATGCTTAAGAAAATTCTACAAGTTCAGAAAGATCGTCTTGGTAAATGGGCACCAAATTATGAAGGACCTTATGTAGTTAAAAAGGTTTTCTCTAGGGGAGCCTTGATCCTCACAAATATGGATGGCAAAGATCTCCTACATCTTGTAAATTCTAATGCAATGAAAAAATATTATGCCTAAAAATAATAATAAAAAAATGCTCGCTAGATTGAAAACTTGAAAGACCGATCTAGGCAAAAGTTAGAGCGACTTGCTAGGTTGAAAACTCGAAAGAACAATCTAGGCAAAAATTATGGTAAAAAAAAGCTCGTTAAATTGAAAACCTAAAAAGACAATTTAAGCAAAATCAAAGCAACATGCTAGGTCAAAAACTCGAAAGAGCAATCTAGGAAAAAATAGGATTAAAAAAAAGCCATCGAAATGAGAGATAAGCATCATGCTAATTTTCAAGGTATCAATTGGGGCAAGACACAGTAGAGCAATAAAAAAAAAGCTAGAGCAAAAATACATTGAATTATCCTCTCAATCTTATTAGCAAGCAATCAAGGTTATTGAAATGTAGTACTAGCATTGATCATCTAGAAAGTGTCACTCACATAACAACTACCTCCTATTGCTATCGTTGTATATATTTTTCATTTTTGTCACACAATGACTTTCTTGAATAAGATTATCCTATTCCCTTATTGTCAATTCTCCTTACATTTTATGATAATATATTGAAAGGACATGCACGTTACATCTAAAAAAGAAAATCCAGGGTGTTACAAATTACTTTTATGAGTTTTTAAAGTCACAATATGCTTGATAATTTCTTGATAAATGTTACAAAGCGCAACCAACAAGATAACGTTATTTCAACTCATAAGTGCTTACAACAGCTTAAGGGTAACCCAAGGGAATAACCAACTGTCATTCAAATCAAAGAGTGTTCAAAGGCCTCACTCATCCATGATCCTTGGTCGTGTGTCACGATAAGGAATTTATAACCTTAAAGAAAAGCAAAAGCAAAAAGAAAAGGAAAAAGAAACAAAAGTTTAAGTCTTAAAAGTTGTATCTCATAACATTTTACATCACATCACCATTGCATCACATTTCATTTGCATCTCTTGCTTCCTAAAACTTATTATTTGGTTTTCTTAGGTCTTTAAAACCAATATCATAGAGTCTTTAGGCTAAGTACTTGCTTAGCACATGACTCTTTGTTTAAGTCTAGTACTTACTTGGCACAAGTTACAATTTCTTTTCTATAAGCCCAGTATCTACCTGGCGCGACCCATCAACCAATTCAATACAAGCATTTGGTCGATCCAATATAAGCATTAGATCAATCTTGCACCAATATTCAGTCGATCTAGCATAAACGTTCAATCAATCCAGCACTAGCATTTGATTGAACTAGCACTAGGCATGGCAACGGGGCGGGGCGGGGGGGGGGTTTAAGATCGG